CTCACGGAACCCAATGGCACATATTAGCACATAGTAGCATTTAGAGAACTAGCGGTGTAGCCCTGTTTAGGAAACCTTTGGTTTAAATGTGAGGATAAACTTTAAAATCTCACAGCGGAAGATCATGTAGGTTACACATTAAGTGTATATTCATTTGTAAAGAAGTGGTTTTTTTTTTAAATTATATATCATATCAGTTCAACAATTGGTATTCATGGAAGTACTTCAAACACGCAACTCAAAGTCCTCAGGCTTGCAGTCTTAACAGGGTAACAGACAAAAGTGTGCACAGAGCTCTGGGTGTCAGCGATAGACTAAGACTCACATACATGTAAATATCCTTCGGCGTGGAAAGGTCAGTAAAAACATCACACTGTAGCTGTGGAAGCATGTTAGTGGTTCATGGGCACTCCCATGAATACAGAATTCTGCACCTTCTAGCACACGTTTCCCATCAGTCCCCTCTTCCTCTGCTTTGTGCACATCTAACAAAAGATGAGGTGATCGCCACTGCCGGAATATTAACATGATAGGAGCATAAAAACATTTTAGAGTTATCATGAGAATTTTTTGCAACAACTGATCCGGTTTTACACACACAGCAGTGGAAACTGTGAATATGATGGATAAGTGGTTAGCATAAAAGTTAAGTGGCCGTGCTTGTAATTAATAGACTGTAAGTGTCAGTGTGAAATTTACTTAGATGCAGAGTAAAGTACTTTAATTCAAAAACAAACAAAAAATGTAAACATTAATAAAAGCATCAGAAGAAACCCTAAAGATCTGTTTGAAACGTGCACTTGCAAAGCCTTTATGCTCTCCTATGGTGTTGGTCAAAGCTCTTGGGGGCAGCTTTTCCATTCTGAGGAGTTCTGCCTCTAGTTCAAGCGTATGTGACGTCTGCACTTCACCTACAGACACACAGGAGGAGAGGGGAACATCTTACCATTGGTAAATTTCAGCGATTTTCAGTTAAATCCTTGGTGCTTCAGAAACATTACCTCGTGCCACTGCAGTGTGGAGACGGGCAGAGCCAGATGACAATGTGGGCATGTCCTGATTTGATCTGGGTCGCCTCCATTGATCCAGGGGCCACGGCTGGGTCTGTCTGAGAAGTTTAATTCCTTGTTGGTGGTCATCAGCTGGGGAATGCCCCCCTTTTTTGAGAAATCAACCTGATCCGACTCCTCCTCTGACTCCTCCTCCAACTCCTCCTCTGATGCTCCCTTTGACTGCTTTTCCACTTCATATTCCCACGTGGTTGTTGTAATACATGTCATCTGTTTTGTGGGGAATGCAGAAAAAGATATTATACAGTGACTCTTTACAGTGTAAATACTGTAGAGTGATTTTTCTTAATATGAAGAATACCAATCATCAGTGTGAACAGTTCGATTCAATGCCTTGTTTTTTTTCTTTCAATTCAATTCAGTTTTATTTATAAAGAGCAAAAAATACACTAGTAAGGTCAAATAAGGGAGGATTTTGATCCTAACTTAACTATAAGCTTTATCAAAAAGCTTTAAGCCTAATCTTAAAAGAAGGTGTCTGTCTCCACAATCCAAACTGGGAGCTGGTTCCACAGAAAGGGGGCCTGAAAGTTGAAGGCTCTGTGTCCCATTCTATTTTTAAATACCCTAGGAACCACAAGTAAGCCTGCAGTCTGAGAGCAAAGTGTATTATTGGGGTGATACAGTAATATGAGGTGTTGTTCAAAGGACATAAACATTACTGAGTGTCAAAACAAAATTGTACTTAGTAGTCAGTATAATCTTTTTGTTCATATATAAGTTTGCATATTATAGAATACTGCATGATGACTCTTTTATTACTGTTGTTGGAATCAAGACTTGCTTTATAAATTCTTTCTCACAGTGATAATAGCTGAGCAAGCTGTTAT